CTAAATAAACTTCCTAGGTCCACAACGAGGGGCCACTTTCAACTCGTGGAAAAAAAGAATCGAAAATATTAACGTAATCGGTTCTGCTTCTCTGAATTATTGATGTTTTTGTGATAAATGGACAAATACGTCAAGGTAAACAGTCGTTTATATTTCATTTTTTAGTTAACACAGATGCTGTGATACTAAAAATTTAACATCGCGCCTTTTTATTGAAATAGGACTCCAAAAAACAAAACAAGCTTCGGTTCTGATCTTTGGAATGCTATTTAAATAAAAAGACGTCATGTTAAGTTCTTAGTATCCTAGTATACATGTTGACAACTTGCTTATCTTGACGTAGCTTATTGTAACCATTAACCTCAAAATATCACCAATTTGGATTAAAACACAATTTCCGAAAGAGAATTCCGTTAATAGGGTTTTTTCACACTTCGTTAGAGGTGCGCAGTTGAACATTTGCGGTGATTCGTCAAGAATTAATTAGATCCTGATATTCTCCACGATTTATGTATTTTTATTACAATAACACTTGAGTAAAACGGTTTATGCTGTAATTTTTGTGTGACATTAACAATGAATTTAATACCTGTCCCTACATACAATACAGGTACATCGTATTTGCTTTATAAACTTTTCTCTTGGTTTAAAGTGAGAGCTCAACGAGGCATGAGACGTAAAATCGGCGTTTAAACCTGTCCTGTCGGCATTTATGTGTTTGCTGGGGGTAAACGGGACGCCGAACGGAATTAGTATCAGACGCGACCGCATACCTTTCTGATGGGGTGTCTGTGCTATTTTTACTCTCCGTGATATAAATAATATGAGAGTCGTCTAATCGCGGGGGGTCATCCACGTGCGCCACTTCCTGCAGCCACCACCGGAAGCTGCATAAAAAAAAAGTTTGCTCGTTCTTGTCAAAGTCAGAAATAGATGGACGGACGGTCGGGATGCACTGACAACGTACCGCTATAGGATGCCAAAGAAGGCTTCGTTACAAAACAAATAAAGAAACAAAGCTAAAGTTGGATGCGGAATGAAATTCATACTACAATGCAATCAACCCCACAACAACCTTACATTGATGAGCCACATTTTTGTATGAGACGCATATGCAGCATGAGTACAACAATATTTGAAGAGTGAAAGCGAAGGTCAGCTATTGGTATCAGCGTTTAATTAAGCGGTCAGTTTGATAAAATTTGATGCTATAAAGTAGAAAAATATGAAATTTAATGAGTAGTGAAAAACTGTGCAATGAAATTTAAAATGTAGTTTGTTCTATTTTAGATGCGCTAGAATAACGCTTAATTTTCATCTAAATTACACTTAATTGAGACTATAAAAACAATTCCAAGAGATCCTCTAATAGGTACTTTGAAGCAATTTTAATGCATAGGTTTATGCACGGCGAAGACTACCAACCATACATATATTGTTAAGAGCAAAAAATAAAACAAAAGTGATATCGTTGGTATGCAAATGTTACTGATAATGTACCTAAGTAATTACAAGGCGTTTATTTCCAACAGCTGACGTGCAGTAATTCAAGACACAATAATTAATAATTATACACAATCTCTGTAATAATATCTAGTGATTTGATGGACAACTTAATTCTTTATAGGTACTTGTAGCATTGTTAATCGACATGCAATATTAATGTAATTTTATTTCTAGCGCTCTTTCACTGTAGTAAAACTGTAGTCGATCGAACATCTTGGACTTTGAAAAAATATTTTTGTTTTTATTTGCACAATTCTGTCAGAGATTTGCACTGTTAAAATATGTTGATAAGTGACCAGATTTTTTTAGTAGAAGTCAATAGCTTGGTGCCACTGGTCTGATATACCTTATTGAAAAATAGATTAATTACAAGTCCAACACATTAAACATATTAAATCTAGACAAGGGAAATAAAATTTGTACAAAATTGCCTATACAAAATTTCTTCCATCCTCAAAGCACTATCAAACAAACCCAGTCTCTTAAGTAAACAACAACATGTTTGTTTGTAATAATATATAATTAATAAATTATGTTAAAATAGTAAAGGACGAATTTATTAAACTAAGTAAGTAAAAGACTATGTTATGCTATGATGTTTTGTTAATAATTTTTTATGATGTCTTTAACTCTTTAGTACGAATAAATACATGAATATTAATTATACAGTATGTACATACGTACAGTGTGAAACTAGCAATAAAATACATTGTTTCGTCAATTTTTTGGACAACCGTATAAACAACTGTCAAAAATAAGAGTGGATTAATAAATTACATGAATATAAATACGCTATTCTGGGCATTTCAAATTAGATTTAACTTTGAGACGACAAGTTTTTGAAAGGATTTATGACCATTGATGTGCTTTGAAGTGTGTCAAACCAACTGCATGTCTAATTTCCCAGATAAATTTTATTGTATAATTCTTTTAAAAATATGACAGAGGTGAATTGTGAACTGTAAGTATACAGAAGGAAGCACCTTTTTCACATTTTAATTAGGATTTACAAACCCAAATTTTAAAAATGACTTAATCAAATTTTTGGTGGGAATGAACAGATAAATTCTGGTTGTGACTGTATAACTATATACCACCTACAGGTAGTACCAAAGAAATTATAATTCCATATTAATCTGTTCAGTCATCTAACAAAATCGTCAAAAAACGAGGGGGTGTATTTTGGAAGGTTTGAAATGTGAGAAAACAATAAAATTTAATACATTAAATATTAAATACCCTATTATTAATAATAATATAAAAAATATAAAAAACATCCATTTTTAAATTATTAGGTATAGTTATTGAAGTAGTGATGGTAAGTTATCGTTATCTGCATATGTTAAAAAATAGTATTAAGAATGTTTGCAAATATTTCACAGAGATACAACAGCATAAGAAAACCACACTTTTTTTTCAATAGGAATGTGTGAAAATAGAGGAAGTGGGGTGTAGAACTGTATAATGCAAGTTTTATTTATACTTTAAATCGAGCCGATTTAGAATTATGTATTATCAAACACTATGAAATAACCAAATTTGAATCATGATTCTCAGCTTTGTAGGTATATAATGTTACTTTAGTGTAAAAGCAGAAAAATTTATATTTACTCATGGACAACTTCGACATACGAAATTGAGTATAAAATGTAAGGGAATTTAACGTGTAAACTTTAATAAACCGCCAATTTCTTTAGTATCTAAAATACGTACAAATAAAAAATAAAAGATTTATATTATCAGGTGCTTATTAAAATACAACTACAGAATTTTCCCTTTTCTATGTTACTGAACTAAGGAAATCGTAAACATTGAATATTTGTTATTGCTCACACATTCAACAATTGCGTTTTTAACGATCGTATGACAATTCGTCTGTGTCAAATAAAAAATAGTTGGAAAATAAGAACATTAAGAACAAAGTGGTACAGACTTTTTTGTTATTTATTGTTTTATCTGAAGTTACTGAACTGATCGATTCAAATATCTCCGGATGTTTTGATGTCACAAATTCTAAATCTTCAAGCTACCGAACTTACTTTTTTATTGTTCAAGTCGTTTTTTCTGTTATATTTAATCAAGGGTTGTTAGAAAACTTTTGTCTTTCATCTCTTTGAACATTTTTAACGCAAAATACCATTATTTTGCAAAATCAATTCTCGCTTTCATCAAGAGTTCCTAAAAATGTATTTCTTATTGTTATGGCACAAATTAATTTCCCAGGACACGTAAAATTTGATGGATAATCAATATTTTTCTAGAATATTTGAAGGTTTTTTCTGCAAAATTTTGCTGCATTCTCACATTTAAAAAGGGATTAGCAGAATTTTAATATTGTAAAATCTTGTAAAATGTTTTTCGAAGAATTGAGCACACGACCAATTCTTGACTACTTATTGTATTACACTGTACCTGAAAGAGTATTAATATTCACATTAACTGTTTATAGCTTTTGTTTTTGGTTATATACAGATACATAATAATGTATGGTACTATTGTATCCAAAATTTTTAAATAATTTGGAAATTTTTAAAATAAAAACAAGCGAAAAAGCAACAGCAGACTTACAGACGAAAAAAGCTTCATTTTTCAGATGCTTGGAGTTCAAGAGGATGCAACCTTTATAAATATTTTCTTATTAGAATTTGAAGTTAAACGTTTAACTTTTTTTATGTATTTATCTTAATTGTAGTTATAACTGATGAAGAGAGGTGGTAATTTAAAAGGAATTATTTTGTAAAAATCGTACCATGACTGGTACTTCCTTGAATGTTATGTTTCAGCTTCCGAAAAAACGGCATTGATGACCTTGCATACTGTCGTTAAAATAACCTACACTGTTACTGAAGAAAATAGGCTTATACGCAGAGGTTTAACTGTTGTAAACATTTTAACTGATGAAGCTGAAATATATGAATTTTGGGACAACTACAAAGTAATACAAATATTGAAAAAATGAAGTGAGTAATCAATGAAATTGGTGCGGAAGATTGTGTAATTTATGTAATATAATATTAAAAAGAAATGTTTTAATATTGATTTGTGTATTGCTTGTTGGCTTTTGTAATGGCAAGCAAATACGAGTTTTTTAATTTATTTTTAGAATAAAATAAATTGAATTATGATTAATCACAGTTCTTAAATTTTATTTCCTAAATAAGAACTATCAACATGCAAATGTTACAAGTCAATTACGGGTCAACCGATGAGTCATCAAACAGTGTGCTTATTAATTGGAAAGCTTATAAAATTATGGAAAAATATATAGGTAACTACTATACGGCATGTGCTGTCGAGTCAGAGGAAAAAAATATGACGCATTTTATATGGAATAGTTATGACTACTAGTTACCAGCCACACTGACAAAGAAGGAAAATAAAACGTTAATCACGTCATCGCAAAAATATCTTATAACGAGTAGGACTAACTCAACAGTGAATTGTAATACTATCAGATATGGAATAAATCAATTTGAAAGGTGTGTTCCACTCACCATCTTTTTCTCCCAAGTTTCTGACGATCGTCATAATATTTGGAATTTCTTCAGCCAGGATATCCACCGGGGCTGTTCTGAACAACTCCTGCACTATTCGCGCAACCATTTGACTGGAACAAAGAGGAATTTTCTTAAGAGTCACATTCTACTCAGAATTAAATTACGATAATTCACCTGCACTTCTAATGCTAATCTAATGCACATCGTCGAACCGAAACAGTCGTCGAACGCCTTTGTGAACCGCAAATAATTGAAACCACGTGGCATGTTACACATTTCTGTGTGCACGTTCGAGCACGACGCAGAAAGAATTGGCGGGAAAACATTAGGCATGCATCAATCGAGAGGAGAGCGTGCCGATGCGCGCGCATCCTCAGCTTATAGCGCCAAGTACGATTTGCCGAAACCGGCTTCCTTTCGTCTTACTACAGATACGCCAGAAATCAGGGACGTAATCCGCAAAAAATCGTTCCGTATAATTTTCCTATCTGTAGGAAAAAACCTGGATCGTTAGTTGTTGCGTTCCATCCAGCACGATGTCCAATAACGTCGACTCATGCACGTTTTAATGTTGATACGTAATTGCGATATCCGACAAACCGGTGATCAGCGAAGCCGAGTTCGCGGTGTCCGTCTCTATTGGTCGCGAAGTCTCCGCCCCGCGGAAACAGCCTAAGATGGCCGACCGTGGACCTGAGGATAATACAATCTACGTCGCAAATTTTACCACGACTAATTTAGCGAAAAACGCATGTGTGGGGTGTAAAAAAATTGGGTAAATGTATTCTGATCAATTCGCGTCATAAAAATCCGTAAAATGGGGACGATTATACTTTGAGGATTAAAATCGAGCATGTCGGTTTGTAAAAAATCAGATTTTGCGCTTTTGATTTCAAAAATGCATGTAGAAAAAGCGAAATTATTATATTTTGGTTGTATTAATGTGAATTTTTTTCGCTAAAAAGACGGGAATATTGTCCTTTTTGTAAGTTTTTGAATGATTGTTTCAATAGTGCATTACGGCAAATAATTCACCCCGCATTTAATAATCTTTTATAAAAAATGAATCATCATACATATTAAGTTAACATATACATAACGTTACTAATTTTTTAATTATACATCTGCTTGAACTGCCCATGAAACAGCTTAAAATTTACTTATTAAACTATACCATATTGTGAGAATTTTGTACTTTTAGTGTTTTATAAAAATTAAAATTTTTGGTGTTCATTATGTTGTTAGGTATGAGCAACACTTATATTTTTTCCTGTCCACGTCGAAAAGAAAAAATTATGTCCATCAGTTCTAAACGAACAATTTTATCTATTTCGAGAGTTGGAATAAATGAAAGTGTTAAGGGATGTGCAAACTTCGGTCACGATTAAAGTTTAATCTAACGTTATCTTTAAAATAAAAAAGAAGATGTGAACTGCGACAAGTTATCTTGTTCGCAATTTTCATTGCCGACACTAGTAGAGGATTTTTCTTTCAAAGATTTCTTTTAACCCTCACAAAACGTTAGTACACTAGTTTACATATACCTACCTACTTATTAATGAATATTTTTCGTTTCTTTTTTATTTTCCTATGCTCTAGGTAGGATTGCTTAGAAATTAACACTCTATTCTTATCCAGATACAAATTATAGGCACAGTTTTTTTCTTTGTTGTTTTAGATGCTTTCTATTCCTTCAGATATCACGGAAAAGAAATCACGACAGAGATACTTACTTCAAGAAATGTTTTTAACAAAATTTTGGCAAATTATCTATATGTATCACATTTTCAACTGTTTAAAAAGCGCATTCAAAGTTAATATTAATCATTATTTTATATTTATCTAAATCTTTTTCATAAAAAAGTCCAAAGAATCCGGACGTATCAGAATATTAGGTATATACTTTGTTGTGCAGTTTGCATAGCTTTCAAAACCATTGCCTAACTCAATAAATATAAATATGACATTTAACCAAATGTCATACCAAGGATAGGTAGTTACATACCTATTTTTTCAGATGTCAGTAAGTTTCACCAGTTGAAAGAATTTAACTTAATTTTGTAATAATTCATTTCTTTATGTTATTCGCTGTAATCAAGCTCAGACAAATAAAATCGCATTAAAGAATTACAAAATGTAAAAATAAATTTGGTAAATATAAATGTGGACCTTGCATTTATTTCACTGTAGTAGTCTCTGATATAATGAAAAAATATTTTAATAACTAAGAATTTTTAATTAGGTAGACAATTTGATTTTTGCACCAGTGAGTAGTTTGGCTTGAAAAATATGTGGCAATATTATTACACGAACACAAAACAAACTCTATTTATTATAATTATTTCTTTCCAACAATTGTTTATATCTATTATGTCGTACAAAATTTCCACAAATATACCTATATATGTTTTTAAAACACCCACAATCAATCGTTCCCAAAAATCTGTAGTCATTTATAGTTCACAAGAGATACCCATGAATGCGTCTCAATGTACTATTTATCACAAGTTATTTTTTTTTTGCAAATATATTAATTTTGTTTTGTATAATTCAACATTACTGGTAACAACGTTTGTGTTCTCAGATTTTAATAAGCCAAATGACAAAATAAATCAAATCAAACACTATTTCCTTAAACACCCTATATATATTGGTAAATAATTTTAAGAGAGTTAAGAATAATAAAAACACAAACACCCCCATGTCTTAAGGGGGTATTATTAATTAATTTAAGAAATGTTTTGATCCCTTAAATCAAGGATAGTAACTTACCAAAGGTTTAAAATTTCTCACTGATTGAAAATAACTAATTTCCCGGTACACACCAAGTCAATTGAATGTGCCCATCAGGATTACACTGATCGGATTTGAAATTGTTATTTCGTATTTCCAAATGTTATGAAGAACACTTGTTAAAATAAAAAGGAGGAGTGACCATGTTACAAAGATTTATTTAAAATAAACATGAATAGCAAGAATGATTTATACCATGGATGCACACTATTGCACACGAAATTTGTATAAAACTACACTTAAAAATAAAACGTATTCTTAGGGATGGAGTGAAGGGTGGGGTGGTAACGAAATTATTTCAAGTTTAATATTAAAAAAAAAATGTTTTTACAAAAATTTATTCCATACTAGATATTATTATTTTCTTTATGAACCTTTGTAAAATTTGACAAAGTCGGTGCGGAAGGTTAGGAATTATAAAAGTATCTCCTGTACCTATCTCTTCTCGTACCTACTCTTTTTTGTAAACATCGTATTGTCTTATTTAGTGTCTGTTTTTGTTCCAGTACCTACCCAAAGTTAATTTTTTGAAATAGGTAAAATTTGGTGATAAATGGTTTGAAATAGATACCTATAGCTTAGACCTTCGTACATTTTCTCTAATTGTTTTACATACTATAGTTACTCTATTCGAAACTGCGAAATATAATTCACGAATGAGGAAATACTACTTTGTGGATTCCATATTGAGTGTGGAGTCTCAGAAATTGTCATTTTTTTTAAACTGACAACGAATGCATTATAAAAAATTATATTTTGTGCATCTAGAGTGATTCTGCTAGCATATAAATTGCAAATGTTTCACTATATTAGATGTCAACTGTTATCACTAAAAAGTTAAATTAATAGATGAAATTAAGAAATTTTGATCTGTATTAATTTCTTTTTAACGACTTTCCACAAAAGAAGGCAAAATTAATTGATATTTTCTTGACTACTTCTTTTCGGGAAGCTATTTCATTTACTCCACACCAACTAGTAATAAAAACTATATATTTTCGAAAAAAAAAAAGTATGAAATAATTCTTCATTTTAAAATACAACGGAAACAAGTAAAAATTGTGTATATAATAAATTAGAACTTTTAGTTTCCACTTTCTGTTGCTTAAAGTCGTGCATATACGTCAGATTATTATGACGTTATTATTTTTGTGCAGCCAGTTCTTTTTTTAATTTTGAACCTTGCAAGTTTTGTAAAATAAGACTAATCAGAGATAAAAACTATAATTTTTTCCAAGTTCTACGAATACCATTATATAATGCCGCTATTACATTGAGTTGAGTTGAAAGTTTTTACATTCTTTAATTAATTGTTATACATTAAGATTATGTCAACTTTATTTTTAACTTGTAACGTTAAGTTATGTTTGTGTTATTATGGTTTTATAGTGGTGAACTCTTAGTGAACGATTTTTCTGGAACTATTGATGTATTGTCTCAATCCGAGATCATCCATAGGTACATTCCTGAGTGTCAATGTTTGCACACTTTTATCCATCATCCACATTAGTAAAAATGTATCTACAGTAAAACTTTCATTTCATTAACAAACTATAGACCATATCTTCATTATTACTTTGTTTTCAGCAGTGCTGAAGGAATAAGGGTAAATTACAACATTTTTTTCTGTGATGGAGAGAAAGTCTACATGAAGAGAAAAATGAAAATATCTAATTGAAAACCAAAATAAAGCTCCAAAAAAAAAAAGCCAGAGATAAAGAATGGATATTTTAAAACATAAAAGAATTAATTGTCTTTATCCAAATTGAGAATTCTTATCATGATCGCTTTTGAATGTATAAACTGAATTTACAATCGAAGGCTAAGCCTTTTTTTGTAGAAGAAATGATTTGTATTGGACTTTTCCCATTTTTGTGATGACAAAATGATGAAGTTTCATACACTTTGAGATCATTTGTAAATTTTAATATAAAACAAAATGTGAGTGTTTTTATTCTAAAAACCTTATACGACCTGAATTTAAGAATCAAATTCTACATACGAGTTAAAACACTACAAACAGACATAATGTTACCGAAAAATAGAAAGAATCTCTAACTTACTTGGAAAAAAAATAAAATATAACTCAAAAATAAAAACCACCCGTTTCTAATGCTTGCTTAAAAGTACAGGTATCGTTTTACTTGACGCTGATATACGTCAAAAGAAAAAAATTGTATCTACTGTTCAGGATGTTTTTAGGCAATGGTAGGTCATGTAAATCTAGTATGTAATTTGGTTGGCAACCAATTTCGCATATGCAAAGATCCCTAATAAAAATGAAATTTATCATATTATAGGTTAAGTTGTTTTTAAT